GTAGCTCTCTCTCTCCTCAGGTAGCTCCTTCTCTCTCTTCAGTGTCTCCTTCTCTCTCCCTCTCTCTCCTCAAGTAGCTCCCTCTCTCCTCAGGTATTGACTGAGGTTTCTGTCCTGCCTGGTTCCTGCAGTTGTTAAGTCCCAAAGAAAAACACAGAGGTCTACATTAGTTATAAAGTGTTTGGCCTATTAGCTAATGCTTCTTATTAACTCTTATAACAAATTAGCCCATAATTCTTTTCTGGGTTAGCCACATGGCTTGATACCTTTTTCAGCGAAGCAGTTACATCTTGCTTGCTCTGTGTCTGGCTTCCTCTCTGTCTGAGTGACAACTACAGACCGAAACTTCCCTCTTCCCAGAATTCTCATTGCCCCACCTATACTTCCTGCCTGGCTACTGGCCAATCAGTGTTTATTTAAAATACAAGTGACAGGGTACAGACCGTTGTCCCACAGCTCTTTAAACAAGAAATCTGAATCGAATTTCCTTTGTTTAGTTTTTCTACTGACCATTATCCATAACAACTTGTAACCAACATTCTAAACAAAGGCAAACATCCATAGTACATTTTTTTTGGGGGGGGGGGAATGTGGGCATAGTTTTTCAGGCTACTTCCTGCTGATTGGGGACACTGATAATCTTATGGAGACCTAAAGAAAATTTAGAATTATGATCAAGTCCTGACTGGTGTATCCTGTGAGGCTTGATCATCTCAGTCTTAGAATTGTTCTGGGTGTAAAACTCAGACATCTGGGCCATTCCTCCTATTGGAGATTTCTCAGGTGATCTTCCTTGGTCAAACCTGATTTTTCTTAGCCCAGAATGAATCCACAGTCCCCCATTTCCTGTGGAAACAAAAGTAAAACATCTAAAGTAACATATCTTTTGACTTAAAAAATTTTAAAGTCAAAGCATTCTCAAAATACATATATTAGATTAATCCAGCAGCATTTATAATCAAATATCTTTTAGCAACTGTTCCTCCTTCCTCAGTCATCAAACAATGTAAAGACAACACAATAGCATACAGTATCCAGACTCTCTGGCATTTTTCATTTTTACATGGCTTTATTTTAACCCCTATTTCTTTTATTTTTATTTTTAATTTTTGGCTTTTTGAGATAGGGTTTCTCTGTGTATCTTTGGCTGTCCTGGAACTCACTCTATAGACCAGGCTGTCCTTGAACTCATAGAGATCTGCCTGCCTCTACCTCCCAAGTGCTGGGATTAAAGGTGTGTGCCACCACACCCAACTACTCTTTTTCTTTCTTTTTTATTTTTAAGGTCTTTATCCTTTTTTTCTTTTCTCTCCCAATCCTACATATATTTTTAAACACACTGTAAACCATCTAGAGGTTTTCTTCATCTGAATCTATCTTTACTGTATATCTCTCTTTTTCTGACCATATGAGTCTTTAATTTGCTAAGTGATATGGCTAAGATTAAAGCCGTGGCTTTGGTGGCTATTCCTTAGCTTTCTGAGAGTCTAGCCTCAAGGCAGAGGAACCAACTGGAGCCACATTTATCACCACAACTCTATGGAGTTTCAAGGTCCCTGACACCACCAAAAATCATGTGGTCAGCTTTTCAACAACACCATTTAAGTGTTTTGTGGCAGGACTTCTTAAAAAAGCTGCAAGGTTTTGCAACTAAAGCTGAGTCAGGAAGCCTCTCTTAAATGAGAGCCCTTACCTTTAGTAAGCAGAGCACACTCAAGAAAGTGCTGCTATCAAGAAGCCATGTTTAATTCTATTCTTTTCTATCTAGAATAACTTCCCAAGCTCTCTCAGGCTTTTAAGTGGATTTGGTCAGCCCCACATTGGCATGCCATTCTGTTTTTTTAAAGGGGGGGAAGTGTTCTGTGGGACAATGGTCTGTACCCTGTCATTTGTATTTTAAATAAACACTGATTGGCCAGTAGCCAGGCAGGAAGTATAGGTGGGTGACCAGGCAAGAAGTAGAGGCAATGCAATGAGAATTCTGGGAAGAGGGAAGTTTCAGTCTGCAGTTGTCACTCAGACAGAGAGGAAGCCAGACACAGATCAAGCAAGATGTGACTGCTTCGCTGAAAAAGGTACCAAGCCACGTGGCTAACCCAGACAAGAATTATGGGCTAATATGTTATAAGAGTTAATAAGAAGCCTGAGCTAATGGACCAATCAGTTTATAATTAATGCAGACTTCTGTGTGTTTCTTTGTCACTGAATGACTGCATGGCTGTGTGGGACAGAAACCTCAGCTCCCTTCTTTTCTCAGTAACTCCCTCTCTTTCTTCAGTACTTCTCTCTCTTTCCTCAGTAACTTCCCCTCTTTCCTCAGTGTCTCCCTCTCTTTCCTGAGTAGCTCCCTCTCTTTCCTCAGTGTCTCCCTCTCTTTCCTGAGTAGCTCCCTCTTCTTCCTAAGTACCTCTCTTTCCTGAGTAGCTCCCTCTCTTTCCTCAGTATCTCTCTCTCTCTTTTCTCATAGCTCCCTCTCTTTGGTTGGGCAATACTCTCTCTGTGGTTCACTGTGTAGGTTTCTGGCCTCTGCACCTGGTCACACCATCTACAACCCAATACATATCTTTCCTTTTCTTTGTTCATCTGGTCTTGGTGGTCCTTGGGGTCTTCCTACATTTCTTCCCCTTTCCTGAGCCTGCACAGCATCCATGTTTGTGCTGTTTATTAGAGGTCGGTCTTACTCTACCTGATACTAGAGGGGCAAACAGCATCTCAGTTCTTTAAAACTCTCTCATAAAGTCTTTGCAATGTCCCTCAACTGAGGAATTAAACAGCAAGCATTTCCTGATTCTATCATTGTGGTTGATAAAATATGGCTATTGCATGGGATACCATACAGTCTACATATAGTTTTTGTTCTCAGTTCTTGATAACTCCTAAAACCCCTTAGAACCTGGAGTGATAGGAGCATCTTTTGTGTAGGCATGTACTGACTTGTGAATGAGGGCCTCCTTCATCAAAGAGGCTGGTCATGGAAGAGACCAAGTCATGATCAAAAGGCAGAGGCTCCCAGCATCCTCCATCACTCTCCAGGTAAGGGAGAATTGATCCTCAATGATCAAAGCTGTAGCTGGTCACATGTACGGAAGTAAGTCTACATAAGATCTGAAGGGATAGGGTCAGCAGCTTCCTTCTGGCTCCTCCCCTGCAGCTTCTGTACCAGAGCACTCCTGAGTCCTGTGAGGTGCTACAGCAAATCAGTTAGCCCTGGTGCGGGCACTGCAAGACCCTAGATTTGTGGTGAAGCACAGGGCACCGCCTGAGGTTTGAGATTGGCATCTGAAGTTTGTCAAGGGGCAAGTCTTAAGGACTGAGCCCTCAACCCGTGACATCTGGTAGGTAGACATCTCCAGGTCGAAGGTGCCAGAATGGAACTGAACTAGATGAGAATCCTGATGGAGAATCTGTTGTGTCGGTTGTCAGGTGTGTGTGTGTGTGTGTGTGTGTGTGTGTGTGTGTGTGTAAGAAAAAGTGGAAGTATTCCACAGCGAATGACGGGGACTATGGGTACGAAAAGGGAACACACAGTCTTTTCCTCTCTGACACCTGAACTGCCATATTTAGAGTCTCACCTAGATGAGCCCACCAGAGGCGCATAGCAACTTGCAAGGGAAGCTCCTTTTCCGTCATTTTCTGGTTGGGAAACAGACTCAGAAGTCAGCTGACTGGCTCAAGAGAAGAGAGTGAGGACCCTGCTCTGGTTGAGAGCATGAGCCTGGAGTCTACTACCCAGACTGGCCTTTATCACACAGGAGACCCCGGGCCTTTGCTCACTGCCCTGGATCTATAGAACGAGGAAGGTGCAATAGTGCCTCTCTCCTCTCAGGATAGCAGTGTTACACGGTGGCACACGCACGGGCAGTGCTAAATTTCCTATTAATATACCAATGTTGTTATTCTTATATTAAATACTATTTGGGCTGGAGAGATGGCTCAGTCGTTAAGAACACTGGCTGCTCTTCCCGTGGACAAGAGTTCTGTTGCTAGCACCTACATAGGCTCACAACCAGCCCCAGGGGATCTGATGCCCTCTTCTGGCCTCAGTGCCCTGCACTAGGGTACGTATACCCCACAGACCACAGCAATTTAAATATAAGATTAATCTTTAGAATATATCATCACTACTGTGATACATCAGACTGCCTCAAACGACTTTGACGTGATGATCAGTGCATTGCACCGTTGACACTCAGCAAGTACTGTTTCCCTTCTATAAATACTTGGGTCCCCCTAACTTATTTTCTAAGTATTTCAGCTGCCATCAGGCTGGCATTGCAGCTATCAGCAGCATTTCCCCGCCTCGTGCCCTGATCGTCCCCCATCTGCAGCTGCCCACCAGAGCCAGGTGCCTAACGGCAGATGGCAGACAGCTCTGGACTGCGCATTGGGGAAACAGGGGTTTGGTTCTACCCGGAACTTTTTGGAAGGCAGACAGGCCGCGGTTATTTACCATACAAACAGATCAGCTGGAGAAGCTCCGGCGAGGTGGCAAGCTGAAGTGCCTGGAAGGCAGACAGAGACAGGCCATGGGGGATGAACCTTTCTTAGCATGCTTGGCAGGGATGTGGCGCCACAGAGCTTGCATGCTCCTCTCTCCTGGCCAGAGGCAGTTGCAGCAGAATGGGCCAATGGGGAGCGAGCACAGGGAGAGTTTGCTTAATCATTTCCCCAATGGGAAGGAGTTTTGTTTTCTCTGTCTCTTAGGAAACCAGGCTAACTGGTCACTGGAAAACAAGTGTTGGTGCCAGGGCCTCCGGGAGATACAAGGCAGCCTTCTCAGAGGTATTTGAATCCCCACTTTTGGCTCAGGTGTCGTTTTGTCTGCACTCTGGGAGTTTGGGGGGTATGACTTGGTGGGATTGGAGCCAGAGATTGACAAGTCCTAACATACCAGGATCCTTCCTCTCTTTCTGGCTCTACTTCCCCTACCTGGCAGCTGGTTTATTCTTAGTCACAGATGGCTTTTGCCCTTGTGCCCTTACCAGAGCTGTGGAGAAGGCTGCTGGGCAGGCAAAGGCTCAGTGGAATAGCGGGGCTAGTGAGGACATGGTTGTCTGTCTTCTATTATTCCCCTGGGCTCCAGGACTTCCCTCCTCGGGTCTCCAGCCTTCTCTGCCAGACTCTCCTGTGCCTGTAACCCTTCTCGTTTTCCCCTCAGCTCTGGTGGTCTAGCGTCTCAGTTTGCCTGCCCAGAAACACAAATACAGCGCAGTAGTAGAAACAGCACACTCTAAAGCTCCCTGGAAGGTTTCAGAGGCTCACAGAGTGGGAGTCCCGTAGAGCGAGGGAGGAAGCAGACACCCCCCAGAGCCAGCCCTCACGGCCTCTGCCACGGTTGTTTCCACTGACCTAATGCCCTGGCTGTTGCTCTTTGCAAGAAGGAATTGTACCAAGGGCAGATTTTTATGCTGACAACCCGAACAGCTGGTTGGGTATTAAAACTTTGCTCCCCAAGTGGCAGTGACTAACTGGAATAATTGTTACATTGACCCCCCCCTTTGGATTGAGCCCGACAGAGGGAGCTGGGCAGGGAACAGATATAGCAAGACAAGGAAGTGCAGGCAGGTAGGGGCTGCCAGGTGAGGGTACTGAAGCCTCTGCTGCCCTCTTCACCTCCCACACAGATGTCAGCCTTTGGGTCCCCACCACAGGCACCTGGAACCTACGTTTTCCCCATGCCCTCCCACAAGAGGCCTATTTGGGAGAGAGCCTCCATGGCCTCTCATTTACCGCTTCTGGAGCTAATAAGAATGCATTTGGTATCGTCTTCATGAGGGCATGGAAGCTGGAAGACCATGGGCCATTCCTTCTTGGTATAGAACCATCCAGGGCACAGTCCAGCCAGGATCCCAGCTTTCCTTATTTTGAAAATGTGCTGTCCAGGTCCCAGGTCAGGCACTTCAGGCCCAGAGTTCTGAGAGCAGGAAGAGACAGTGATGGGGTCAGGAGGCAGGGAAGAGGGAGCTGGTTTCCAGTGCTGTGAAGAAGGGAAGACGGTGATGGTATCGGTCAATCGAGCTCTCTGTGATGCTGTCCTTACAAACAGATGTGCACAAATGCTACCCCTGGTGCCTCTGTGTCTGCTCTCCAGCGGGTTCTAGGAGCAGAGGTCACAGCTCGGCACCTTCCCAGGCCTTGATTACCTCACCAGCACTCCCTAGGACGTGCCCGTGGCGGAAAAGTTCACGCAAGTGCACAGTGACTAGAAGGCAGCGTCCAAATGCCCTGTGGTGGTGAGCGTGGCGGCAGAGCTAGGCTGGTTTTGTGTTGGTCACTAATGCCTGTAGAGACCTCGTGGCTCACACTGTTATTTCATGGAGTGAGAGCTTAAATATTTGCTGGGCTTCACCCATGGGAGCACCAGAAGGAAGTCTTACTCCGAGAGGGCTGCCTGATGTAAGGAAAGAACTGTCGCCTCGGGCTTCATCTGGGCAGAGGGATTCCCTAAACAAGGTGGACAGTTTGCATTTCGCTCCTCTCAGGACATGGAGACCGTGCGCATCGCAGTCTTCGGCGCTGGTGTGATAGGACTGTCAACTGCCGTGTGCATATCCCAGATGGTCCCCGGATGTTCCATTACCGTCATCTCAGACAAGTTCTCTCCCTATACCACCAGCAATGTAGCAGCTGGAATACTTATTCCTCACACGTATCCAGGTGAGAGAGGGATTTATTTGCAAGATGCTAATTTTGCCCTAGGTGCTTTTCTTGTGATCCTCGTTCAGATTCCGCTTGCATATACCAGGTCCGAGTGATTGAGCCTGAAGGCTGCCTGGTGTACCCCGGGCATCTTTAAAGGAGGGAGGGGCTTTGTCACCCAAATCACATGGTCATCTGCTCTCTCTGAGGCTGTGTGCCTTGGTGTCCTGGACCAGCTCCTTCATCTTTCTGCTGTTGCTTGTGGAAGGCTTTGCTCTGTTCCCCAGATTTCTGCCTGAGACATGAATCGCAGCAGCACTAGTAATAAATACTGCTCCGTGCCAATCCGGTAGGCCCTTGTGAGGATCAGATGAACTAATATTCACAGAGTTCCAAGTGGTGCCCTGCACAGAGCCATCACCCACCTGCATTTGCAATTATTCCTGCCTCTCCGGCTGCTATAGTTTTGTTTGACTGGCACTTGAATATGCATTAGGTCACCATGCTTGCTCAATCCACAGTTGAACTGGAATTGTCTGTTATTTGGGGGATGATTTCTATAGCATATGGTTCTTAGCCACTATTCTGTTTTTAGGGTGCAGGGGCAGGAACATGGGAATGCATATTAAATCAGCTCTTCCCACTGACATAGGTCATTGTAGGGCATTCCACTGAGGTCTAACAGAATTCTGTAATTCAATTATTACTTCTTCTTTATCTCTAAACAAGCAGCCTGTCTGCAGTTTTGGAAGAGAGTGTTATACAGGCACACTTCTCAATGATGACAATGAAATATTTATTTATTCAATATTAAAGGGTTATTTATTGGTTTTATAACCAGTGATTTATTTAAAAGTCTTGCTACTAATATGTCTGTATTGACTTGGGGCCCTGCCGGTCACCCTTATGTTTCCAGCCCACTTGTAAGGAGTCTCTCAGTTCTTCCTATTGTCCCAACAATGTCCTTGGTGGGATTTCCTAGTCATACACTCATTCCTGCTCTGACTGGCATCTTGGGAATATTCCCTGTATGCTTCTGGCTCCTGTGTCAGGCTGCCCTGCCTAGTCTATCTCCCTCCACCAATAAATCATTACAAGAGTGGGTCAGATAGATAGACATCAGCGTCGGAAACTCCGCGTATCCTGTCTGAACGCTCCTCCCTGAGTGCGTTAGTATCACGATCATGTCCTCTCAGCTGCCCATTGCTTTTCTCCGTGACTCCGCAGACACGCCTGTGCCCACGCAGAAGCAGTGGTTTACAGAGACCTTTCATCACCTGTCCACAATTGCCAAGTCTGCAGAAGCCGCGGATGCGGGCGTTTACCTGGTGTCTGGGTAAGAAAAGGAATCTGGAGTCGTAGAATTTAGAACAACACAGGCAGATACCAGAGATCAGCAGGACATATTTGTAAGAGGGAGGACTTAGAAATGGCTTCAGAAAACTTAGGAAACATTATTTAACAGAATTAGTTGGCTTTTATAAACAACAAATAACAAACTGCAATTTCTTATCACAAATATTTTCTTGAGTTTCTTCAAGGAATGTGAAATGGCTTGAATATGCAAATAAGCAAAGATCTCGAATAGTGAATAAACCTGAGTTTGGGTGCGTGGAGGACGGAGCAGCTGACGGAAAGCAAAGCCGTGTGACACGGAAGGGGCCCGGAGACCTAGGCAGAGGGCTGTCTGATTTATTTGAGAATCATTAGAAAATGAGATGGCCCCAAAAGTAAGTTTTGTAGGTGGAGGGCTAGTGTTGAAAATTGAACCCAGGGCCTTGTGCATGCCAGGCAAGTGCTTTGCAACTGAACCATTTCCAGTCCTGAAGTCATCTCTCGAAGTGCCGTTTGGAAAATAGAGCTCCTGCAACGTTTAACACCTTTCTGTTTGATTGTTAATATCTGATTGAGAGGAAATGCATTCTTACGAGAGGTTTGAGGACACAAATAGCACTTCAAACAAGATAATTTCACTCTGCATCCTCTAAAGGAGAGATGACTAAATATTTTAGCATCTTTAATGTAGGTCTATGTCATCAAGTGAGAGAGTTTGTCACCTGCGCTATCCCATGTGTTAACACGGCCTTCTGGAGAGTAGGTGTATGATCACCTTTGACGATGTTTCCAGGTGTTATTCTGCTTTCTGCCATCAAGACTATTTTAAAGGTACCTGTCTTGGAGCTGAAGAGATGGCTCAGTGGTTAGCACACTTTCTGTTCTTTTTTTTTTAAATATTTATTTATTAAGTATGCAACATTCTGTCTGCATATATGCCTGCAGGCTCGAAGAGGGCATCAGATCTCATTACAGATGGTTGTGAGCCACCATGTGGTTGCTGGGAATTGAACTCAGGACCTTTGGTAGAGCAGGCAATACTCTTAACCACTGAGCCTTCTCGCCAGCCCACACTTTCTGTTCTTACAGAGGACCTGGGTTCAGCTCCCAGAACCCACTTGCTTGAACTATAGTTCCAGGAGATCTGGTGCCCCTCTGGCCTCTGTGGACTCTTGCCTGCGTGTAGTATACATAAAGGCATGCAGGCACACATGTGTATACATATGATAAATAAGAACATTTTCCAAAAGACGGGAGCGAAAAGTTCTAGGCTCCATGGACACCTTTTCTAAGTGCATACTTCTATCAGAAGGATTCTTGCCCTTTTTCTTTTCGCCTTCTCTGTTGGTTTGAATAAAAATGGCCCCCAGAGGCCCAGAGGGAGTGGCACTATTAGGAGGTGTGGCCTTGTTGGAGTAGGTGTGGCCTTGTGGGAGGAAACGTGTCACTGTGGGTGGGTTTTGAGGTCTCAGAAGTTCAAGCCAGGCCTAGTGTGATCTGCTGCCTGAGGATCTGAATATAGACCTCTCAGCTCCTTCTCCAGTACCATGCCGGTCTGCATGCTACCATGACGGTCTGCATGCTACCATGACAACAATGGACTAAGCCTCTGAACTGTAATGCCCAAGCGGCACTTCTACCTTCTCAGGGTCTGCTTTGGCTGAACTGTTCTGCTTAGAGACACAGACTCTGGTATGTTCGCAACCACATGTTTAACTTTCAGATTTGTGTCTGGATGTTTTAGAGTAAAGGTGATTGCCAACCGCTGATGGAAACAGCCCAGTATTTAAAAAGTCTAAATGTGTAGCTGCTATTGACAGTCTGTTACCGACCTCTTCTCCTTTTAATATCTAAGTTTTAAATTATTTTATTAATTCTTTGAAAATGTCATGCAGTTTACTTTGATCAAATTCATTCAGTGTTACAGGCTTCCTGTTTGACCAGCAATACCGCTGTAAACTGATCCACCCCCACCGTGCTGTGGTCTCCCCACCCCAATAGGTTCTTCTGATGACTACTGACTTCATAGAAGTCACACACCTGCTTCCTTCCTATTATCAAGTGTGGTGATGCACACCTTTAATCCCAGCACTCAGGAGGCTGAGGCAGAAGGATCTCTATGAGTTGAAGGCCAGCTTGGATTATATAGTGAATTCCAGGACAGCCAAGGTTACATAGTGAGACACTGTCTCAAAATCAATCAATCAATCAAACAAACAAAATCCAACCAATGTCATGTTCAAAAACAAGGCTATCTGTAGGTGGAGGCTGCTTGTTCGTTTCTTGGCTGCCCAGACCTGAAATAATCACACAGAGACTGTATTAATTACAACACTGCTTGGCCTATTAGGTTATGTATATTTCTAGCTAGCTCTTATATCTTAAATTAACCCATCTCTATTAATCTGTGACAGACTCCGCCGGTGTCTTTCTCCTTCGGCAGTTACATGGCTTCTCTGACTCTACCTACTCTCCCTCTACTTCTCTTCTCAGATTTCCCACCTGGCTTTACTCTTTTAAGCCACTTGCTAAAAGCAGCTTCTTTATTAACCAATGGCAATAAAACATATTCACAGCATACAGAGGGGAATCCCACATCAGCTAACCTTTGAGTTTCTTACATTTTCCCTTTCTTCTATACATGAAGTACTGTGCAAAAAAAAAAAAACCCTTTCCTCTAAAATACACAGTCACAGTCAACATGTAAAAAAGGAAATCATGGCAAAAACATTTCAGAGAAAAATAAATTAACTTGAAGATTTAAAAAGACATGCTATTTGTTTTTTTGCCATGCTGGGGATTGGAAATCTGGCCTGGTGTGTGCCTGCTGGGAGCTCCACCACCACCCAGTAAAGCCCCAGCCTGATAGCGCTTTACAAATGCCTGCCTGCCTCTGTCAGCCGAGAGGATCTGAACTCCGCCGTGCAGGTGCCTGAACCCAAGGGGATGGAAGAACTGATCTTTTCCTTTGGGTTTACAGGAAGTGAAGTTTTAAAGTGCATGAGGGAACTTTATAGGCACTTTCCGAATAATACAAGGTTTCACAAACTTTAAGGAGCACCTCTTCCTTCCTGTGCCTCAGGTGGCAGGTATTTCGGAGTGTCCCCACTGAAGAGGTGCCTTTCTGGGCTGATGTCGTTCTGGGATTTCGAAAGATGACCGAGGCGGAGCTGAAGCGATTCTCTCAGTATGAATTCGGTCAGGCTTTTACAACCCTGAAGTGTGAGACCGCTGCCTACCTCCCATGGCTGGAGAAAAGGTTGGTGGAAATGTCCCTGTTTTCCTGTTTGACATGGTTATAAATTATTGCACAGATGTTAATAAAACACACAGCAGGCTCTCTGGGGCTCCTAAGGGCTCTCTTGGACTGTCTTGCAGCTCACAAATGGCCGGGGCTCTGTGAAAGCCTCTGGAGAGTGTCCATGTGGCAAGGACTCACGGTAACTTCGTGCCTCATTTGTCCCCACTGCCCCGGAGAAAAGCCAGTTACTGAGAAATCTTAGTTTCTTTGTTCAGAAAACTGAGGCTTTGAGACAATGCATTTACAACTTTACTTCTTTGGAAGAGAAAATCTTATGTTTATCATAAATTGTTTATTTTTTTAGTTTTTTTCTCTTTTTTAGAAAAATAGCTTCATCATTATTATTATTTTGTTATCATTATTACTATGGTTATTATTAATTTGGTTATGAATAAGAATATTGAAATTGAAGGCTTATCTAAAGTATGTAATTGTTTCCTTAAAATTCAGTTCTTAAATCTTTCATTTTGGTTTGGTTTTTTAGCACTTCCTCTTCCTAGCTTTTTAGGAAGAGAAACAGCGAGAGTGTTTTGACTTGAGAGGTATCAATACATCTCTTGCTGGTTTGCTCAACCACTGCATGAGGTTGGGGGCTTGGGAAAGATAAGATCCATCAATACCCAAATCTGGGAACTTGGTCAATAACCCTTATTTGAAATGTTTGTGCACCAGAGTCATTTTGAAATTTAGTTTTTTTTTTTAATCTACTTAATGAGCCTGGTGTCTGGGTAGATGGTCAATATGGTGGATGACGAAGGCTACCTAACCCCTTTTCTTCCATGAAAGACTTTGTGGAACAGGGGCAGGGCCTTGTTGCACCCCAAGAGGAGCCCTTTAGGTTGGTGCAAAATGGGGCAATGTCACTGTGAGGGAATGGGACATTTGGGGCTCACTCTGTGGGCTGGGCAGACCCAGATGGGTAGCCACACAGTCCCTGCTGTTCCTTACACGTGGGCCTGTTCCGTTGCCTCCTACGCCTCTTCCCCACTGTGTGAGTGCTCAGCCTTCTGTGTCCTCATTCCGAAGGGAACATTCCTCCCAGCATGCCATGTGGCAATGACTTCAGCCTCAGCACCTGCTAGGATGGTGCATCAACCCAGAAAAAAAGAGATATTATTTTATTACAACTTAGACTGTTAATGTTTTCCAAGAACAGAAAAGCTCATCTCCTTTTCAAACATTGCCCATGGTGTCCAGAACAACCTGGCACACAAGGAGCCCTCAGAGGTTTAATCACCCATGCAGGGAATATTTTAAATCTCGGTACAGTAAAGTCACCTGCTTGGCTGCTTTTTTTTGGCTTGGTGTCCCAGGAAATAAATCACAGAGGCAATACATCTCCTGCCAGACAGCCTACCTAAATAAATTACCCTGAAGAGGCCAGAGCCACCCTGCATTTGATGACATCTAGGAAGCCTGCTGGTCCCTTTCAGTGCCGGAGGCCTAGAATTTAGCTGGTTTCTTCCCAGGACACCAGGTCTTATCCCATGGCCCCGAGGTGGCCCACACGGAACACAGTGCTGACCTCCCTGCCCATACTGATCAGCACCTCTCTCGTTTTTTTCTGGGCAGGCCTTGCATCCCCCAGTTTTGTGTGTATTTTTTGTGTTTTCCCACCTGCCTGACTCTTGTGATTTCCTAGAAAGTTATATAAAAGTACACACCGGCATTGCACACCACCTAGGGGACAGGCTCTCCCAGTTTTAAGTCTGTCCAGCTTGCAAGGGCTTTAGATTCTTGCTCCTCCTGTCAGTGGGTCTACTGGAACATAGCCTCCCTCTGAAGTAGCCCTTAGGTTAGTGGTTCTTAACCTGTGGGTCACAACCCCCTTGGGGGGATCACATATCAGATCTCCTGCATATCAGATATTTATATTATATTTCATAACAGTAGCAAAATTACAGTTCTGAAGTAGGAATGAAATAATTCTATGGTTGGGGGGTGACCACAACATGAGGAACTGTATTAAAGGATTACAGCATTAGGAAGGTTGAGAAGCACCATCATAGGGGTTGCCTCCCTGTCCCACATCTGTTCCCCAGTGCCTGGTCAGGAGAGTGAAACTATTGGCTCCAGCACAGGGCTGAATGTGTTCTCTGCTGGTTTTTCATGGGTGGGTAAGGACAGAGTGTCAAAGGTGGCAAGAGGATGCTGCCTGTGTTTCCTGATGGTGGTGGTAAGGCTTGTAGGGGGCAGATGAAGGGTGTGTCGGATGTAATGGCCTTGGTGGCTTTTTATTAAGATTGCTCTAAGGCATCTTCCTGGCCGGACTTTCTTCCTCAACACAACACCTCCTCTATGGACTAAGGGAGAATGGCTACTCCCCTTCAGGACCAATGCCTATAGAAGCCCTGGACCATATCCATATACGCTCCTCCAAGGGACCAGAGGCTGCTTTACACCTTGAGCCTGGTGTGGCCTGGAGATTCGTACGTATTCATGGAGTAGTGATGGAGTCGTGCCAGGCTGGGGTGGGCACTCAGAGAGCTGTGCCACAGCCGGCAGTTCGTTGTGAGGGAGTTAGCGAGGGCCACAGTCAGCAGACAAGAAACGCTGTGAAGGCAGAGTTAGACTGTATGCATTTGGCTGCTTTATAAACTTAAGATCCATTTTAAAGCTCTAACTAGGGGGAGTTAAGTGGGGCATAGCGACAGGAAGCGTTGCTATGAAGAAACTGGGTTTCCCCTGTAAATCTGTATGCATAGGACTTGCCAACTGAAATTTAAACTAGGCTTCTTTTTTCTTCTTGTTTTTGAACAAAATGACTGAACATGGTTGATTTTTTAAAAACTCTGGTAATAAGGTGTCATTCTTTGGTTTGAGAGCAGGGATTCAGGCTTGAAGGCTGGTTAGCAATGCACATATAATAATCCCAATATAACTCTCTAATGAAGTTCCTGTCCTTGATCCCAGTCCTGACTGTTTCTTCCTCTCTTTATGTCAGATCTTCATCTTCCATGTTCCTTCCAAGCCCCTCGCTGTGTCTCCCCTCTCCACTCCAACCTGTTTTCCCATGGGGACTAAGAACTCATTCTGGTTGACTTTGGAGACCCCCCCCCGCCAGAATCACCCCCTATTCATTCTAGGATGAGAGGAGAGCTGACGACATACAGAGAGAGATGTCCTCCATCAATGCTGGGGTTGTTAGGATCAGAGCTACTGGTGGCCCTACTAAACCAGGATTGGCCCCATCCTCGATAAACCGATTAAACATGCTGGTGACAGTGAAAAGCAGAAAAAGAAGCATTGTTCAGTCTAGCCACATTGTGAAGAAGATCAAAGAGGCCTAGTCCACCCTCCAGAACCAGATCGACCTTCAGGGTGCTAAAATTAGGCTTGGGTTTAAATAGAAGGCCAGAGGTACATATAGCGGAATAGCTCGGTCAGGGTGTGGTCGGCTTTTCTCCGTTGTGTCCAGCTCTAGTCTTTCCTGTAAGGTGGACTAACCAGTCAGGGCTGTGTAAAACATCTTTCCAGGAGACACCCCCTCCACCATCTGACACAAGGGTCTCAGCCTTCTTCTCTCAGCATGAGATTCCTGGGGAAATCTCAATTTCTTGGCGTCCATTTTTCATTAGTTTCATAGCTAAAATGAGAGGCGCAAATGTCTCTAGATTATCTTCACTCCTGCCAGGACTGAAGCCTGAACCCCAACTCCAGGCAGCCCTACCCTGTCCCCAGTCTCCTCCATGCTTTGGGAATTGGTGCCCGCGCCCTCTGAAGGATGATGCTCAGCTGCCTAAGATGCCAGCTGGGCATGGGCACAGTGCCAGCCCTCCTCTACCAAGACATAGAGTCTTCCAGGGGATATTGTCTGCAGTGGTATAGCACCAAGTCTTTCTACCTTCTCTTCAGAGTAGACGTACATCTACAATGCGACCTTTCACCTTACAGCACGGCAATGCCGAGAGTTATGTAGATAATATTCACAAAATGAGGTATAGCCTATCTCAAAGGCATGATTGGCAGCTTGGAGCCCACCTGGATTGTAAGTGATTTAAAATGTCTATCATTCCTCATTTTCTATTCATTAAGTGTTTCAGGGAGTTGATCCCAGGTGATTGGGTCCCAGGGCATGGTCTGTGCCTTTAGCTTTCCTCCTCATGGGGCTGTGCCCTCCCTCCTGTCCTGTTCCCCCACCAAAGGGGCCCTGCTCCCTCCTGCCAGTCCTCACTATAGTATCTCCCACAAAGCCCCTCCTTCCCGCCAAGTACTCTTAGTTAATAGAGCCCCCTTTCCTCGTGGATTATGGGGCCATGCTGTGTTCTTTGTGCAAATTGGGGTCTTGCTCCATTGCCAGCCTCTCCAGAGGAAAATGATCGAGCCTTTTCTGTCCCTAGTTGGTCTCCACAACTGCTGTAATAGCAGCTTCATATGGTGGTAAAAGCAACTTCTAGGCACCTGGTCATTTAAGGTGATATCTGTCTCTAGATACAGTTTCCTCCTCTACACTGGTGCCAGGCTCTTTCTGTATTTGCCGGGGATATGTAATAGGTGAGCAACACCACCCACTCACCCTGAAACAGGACTGGCTGACCTGTCTGGATATGTGCAGCAGGTTTCTTCCTGGGAAAGAGGATCAAGAGGGACCCAGTACATCATGTCTGGCCGAGCCTTCCAAAAGCCCAGCTATACATCCATCATCTACCCCATCTCCAGTGACATGTTGGGCTTTCATCCCAGCTCCCAGCAAGGGCTGTTGAAATAGAAAAGAAGAATATTTGCGTTTATTGCATTCTCACACAGTTAAGGAAACAAATTCAGTGAATTGAAGAATTCTCAGGAATCCTGAGACTGGTAGGGCCACTTGTTTCCCTGAATTAGAAAAAAAAAATAACTCTGAGTTCTGGTTAGAATGGCCGAGGACAGGACATCATGTTCAAAGACTAGCACATAGAAGAAAAACAAACCCAGTGTTCAGAAGAAAGACTAGTTAAAACCTTTAAGAAGTCACCGTGGTCATAGTTAAATATAACTGACACGCAGATGTGCACAGGCCTACCCCCAGGTTACATGGCCGGGCTCGTGGTCTATAGGAGCGTGGCAAACCCTTCATCCTTCTTATTTTTCTGGGAAAGCTCTGACCGAGCAGCTGTAGCTGTGGTATGTCACAGATTTGTCAGCCCTGGTCCAGACCTTGTCCCCTCTCATTTGCACAGTGAGCTGCTGAGGGCAGTCTCACAGCAACATGGAGGAAGGGAAGGCTGGAAGCTTAGAGAAGCTGGCCAGCTTACCAAGGTTATAGGAAAAGTGTGTGTGGCGGGGTGGATGCCCTACTTCCCAAAAATCTTTCCTTGGTGCCTACTTTCTTTTCTTTGACAATTTCATGTACCTACGTAGTGTATTTTAATTGTTTTCAGCACCGTTACCTCTGCTGAAACCCCTTGTCCTGTTTGCTTCCTAGTGCTGAGATAAAACAACATGCCCACAGCAGCTCGGGCAGGAAGGCTTACGTGTTCCAACCACAGTCAACCGTGAAGGAAAGTCAGAACAGGAACTCAAGCAGGGCAGGGACCTGGAGGCAGGACCCTGGAGGCCGGAGCTGATGCCGATTCCATGGGGGGTGCTGCCTACTGGTTTGCTCCCCATGACTTGCTCAGCTTGCTTTCTTATACAACCCAGGACCACCTGCTCAGGGATGGCCCCACCCACAGTGGACTGGGCCTGCCCATGTCAATTGTCACTCAAGAAAATGCCCCAGGGTTGCCTCCTGCACACTCTGATGAGGGTGTTTTCTCAGCTGAGCTGAGCTCTTTGCAGATAACTCTAGCTTGTGCCAAGCTGACAGAAACAAAAACAATCAAACCCCAAACAACACATCCTTCTTCCAGACAGCTCCTGTTCTGCTTTTGTGTGTTTTCCCTTTTTCTTTCTTCTGACCCCTTGAGTTTAGCAGTTACTTGCAGAACCTGGGTAGGGGGTTGTCTACTTACTAGAAAACGGGAGAGGCGGTTCCTCCTCCTCCAGCAGCTACCAAGGGCAGGCTGGGGTCTCCAGGGCCCTCCCCATCTGTGATGAAATATTAATGGGTCCAGGCTCGTGCAGCTCCTAACAGCTGCTGGGAGTTCATGATTGCAACAGCTGTAGAATGTCCAGCAGACGTTTTTTCCCCCAGCACTTTCCCCCTCCTTCTGGCTTATATTTTTTTCACCCTGTCTTTCAGTGGCGCTAGTGTTTATTTCTTAAACCTCACAAAGGAAGTACAGAGTGCTGGTTAGTGCCCCCACAAAACACCAATTTTTCTCTTTCTCATTCTTTTTTTTTTTTTTTTTTTTTTTTTCTTTTTTTCTTTTTTCCTTTCCTTTTTGTGCAGCATTCAGCCCGAGAGAACTACTTCACCTTTGAAAACACATATCCAACGCACATAATCTCCGTTTCCAAATTGTTCCTTGGAGAGAGTGGAAACTCCTGTCCTCCCTCGTTTTCGTCACTCTGTCACACTAGAGGTTTTCATTGGTTATCTGTGACCTTATGGAAATGTTTCCAGAGTCCTTGGTTTTCTTGCTGCAGGTAAATGCCATAGCCTTCGCCTTGGTTTTCTGAATAACAAGCTAGGATACTTAGGGTGAAAATTAGTGCTTGAAACGACCTCTTGGACTGAATGGAAAGTACACTCCAGGCTCAAATTATTGAGGGCTTAGCACAACTGGTCCTTCTGTAAATATTTAATATATAATACATGAATCCAATCCAGAGGTTTCCAGCTGTCCTTCAGATCGCTCAGTGATGACATGGGAATGGTCCCTCTTTTGGGAGAGGCTGTGGTGAGTAAGGGGCTGAGCTCTGACCAGCAGCCACCTTCTGCTGAGCTGTGGAGAAGACGCAACTCCGCTACCCAAAGCTGACTGAGCTGCTGTTGGGGCCTGTGATGCCGGGTGCGGAGATGCTGTTTACTCTTCTCTACTTGTGAATTTTTCTAGAACTGGGGACCAGTGCCCAAAGCTGTCTCCTTCCAATTCACAGTGCAAGTTTCAGTGGAACTTTCCAGCTAGAGAGTAGATTGTCAGTCTTTTCTTGTTGTGTGAAGTCAGTGGTTATTCTTGCTGTGTCAAAATGCCACCTTCTAGGCTCCTCTTTATGCTATCTCCAGAAGTTTCTGGCTTTTATTTGGGTTTTCCTTCGCATAAACCTTTGTTCATCTGGCACAGAAGGGGGGCGTGCTGAGAACCAGTGTGTGCACCTCTGCTCTCTCAGAGGTAGGGAGGGCACAGGCACCCACACCCGTTTCTGTTGTCAGTCTTGACTTCCCCATTTTCTCTCTGGGATGTGCTTAAGGGACAGCAGACAGGGAGATGGACATCTCTGGGCAACCACTCTGTCAGAGTTCTCCTGAGATGGAGCCAATGTGTGTTCGTGTGTGTGTGTGTGTGTGTGAGTGTGTGTTTGTGCGTGTGTACATGTGTGTTCGTGCGTGTGTATATGTGTGTTCGTGTGTGTACATGTGTGTGAGTGTGCACATATCTGTATCTGTTTATTAAACTTTACCCTGTCAACCATCTACACTGCCTTCCAGTTCTCTTTCTGGCCCTTGAGGAAGGGCATCGTGCCTTCCAATATTTTTGTTTCCCTTAGCAATGTTTTGCTTCTAGATCACCAACCTGCATCTGTTGTACAGAACTGCCAAGAGTCTCTTATATTAAATCCCCTGTAACCTATAAGGAACCTAGAAATAAGATTATAGGATTACAAGGGATTAAGATGATGAGATTACCGGGGTTATTATTTTTTTAATGGCTACAGAATTTCCACATTGGAGATGAAGGTAGTTGCTGGGATGGGGGGTGGCGGTGGTTGTGCAACAATGCGAACTTACCTATTGCCACTTACAATATGCCTCTGAGCTGTACACGTAAAAATGGCTCAAGTAGTGAGGTTTTGTGCTGTGTATATCACCCTACAATTCAGTGGTGATTATAAGGCTTACTGAGCCATTCCTTCTCATTAGTGAAATATTTGGTCAAAAAAAAAAAGCTGTTGTTTATTCCATCAGTTGTATGTTTTGTTCCTTTTGTGAAAACATGCTGTGTGTGTGTATGTGTGTGTGTGTGTGTGTGTGTGTGTGTGTGTGTGGTGTGTGAGAGTGTGTATGAGACTGTGTGTGAGACAGAGAGACAGAGAGAGAGGCAGAGACAGAGAGCGCAGCCATCTACCAGAGCGAGCTGACTAACACAGAGCCGCATGCAAGGACGAACAATGCGTGACGGAATGCGGAGGCAGCAGAGTCGGAACAAGACGTGCTTGACAGTTTAAAGCACACTGAGTCAATTTGGCATTTATTTCGCATTTAGACATAGGAACTCTGTGAAATGTTTTAAGGGCAAGACATATGATTTCTTTGTTTTAGATTCCCATAACAGGTTTTTCTTTAGGACCAACCATAAGAGTCTTCCTTGGCCCAGGATGGAGCTAGGCTGTGCTGCCGGGAGCTCTGGAAGCTCCCAAGATTTTGTTGTTCCCGTGGGCCTGTCCTTCATTTCTGGGAAGTGGTGAGAGGTGGTTAAGGCTCACCCCGGTCTCTCTTTCCCAGGTTAAAGGAAAGTGGAGGTCTGCTACTCACCAGGAGAATAAAAGACTTGTGGGAGCTGCAACCATCCTTTGACATCGTGGTCAACTGCTCAGGCCTGGGAAGCCGACAGCTTGTGGGAGACTCCATGATTTCCCCTGTAAGGGGCCAAGTGCTCCAGGCACAGGCCCCCTGGGTGAAGAATTTCATCCGAGACGGGAGTGGCCTGACGTACATCTACCCTGGTACATCCTTCGTAACCCTGGGAGGAACCAGACAGAAAGGAGACTGGAATCTATCCCCAGATGCGGAACTTAGCAGAGAGATTTTTTCTCGATGCTGTGCTCTTGAGCCCTCCCTCCACAGAGCCCACATCCTAAGAGAGAAAGTGGGCCTGAGGCCCAGCCGGCCTGGTGTGCGTCTGCAGAAGGAGATCCTAGTTCGAGGGGGACAGAGGCTCCTTGTGGTCCACAACTATGGCCACGGGAGTGGGGGCATCTCAGTGCACTGGGGCTCGGCTCTGGAAGCCACCAGGCTGGTGATGGATTGGATCCGGACCCTCCGGACCCCAGCTCCTGTTTCAAAGCTGTAACTGACACCAGGCTTCAGCGAATGACCCCAGGTGATGGTGGTTCAGGGTTCATGATGGGGCCTCATAATGTCTCCCCGGCTGAAAAGTTGACTCTGATCTTTGTTTTCACAATCAGAAATTATACAACACAGTAAACTCAGAAAGCTTGCCACAAACGACATACGGCACAAAACTCCATTTTGCTCAAATATATGTTATTAAAAAAATGTTTAGCCAGGTGGCATATGCCTTTGATTCCAGTGCTCGGGATGCAGAGGCAGGCCAATCTTTGTGAGTTCGAGGCCAACCTGGTTTCCAGAGCGAATTCAGGACAAGCAAGACTACACAGAGACACCCTGTCTTGAAAAACTAAAGCAAACTAAAACAAAACAACAAAACAAAAACTTGTTATCTAGAGTAACATTTGGCGAGGATCTAATGCTAATTTATATGAATGATATAAGTGATACGGATTTTTGTATCTTTAATCCATAAACCCATACTAGGAGACAACATGTGGGAAACACTTGGATCCCTGTCAGTTGTAGGGTTGTGTGAGATCCTCTTAGGTCATAGAGCCAACCAAACAAGCCTTGCGATCCCTTTAGATAAGGCTGCACAGTGCGGACCGCCTGTCTTTAACTGGAGACAAAGCATGGTCCCTTGCGCTGGCAATGATGGTAGAAGACGGAGGTGGAGTTGCCTATGAAAACATCGCCAGTTTGGGAGCAGCTAGGTGTCTGTCACTGTGTATGTTCTGTTGTTTCTGGGACCAAACACCCAACAGAAACAACCTAAAGAGTTCGTTTGCTCGCTGTTTTGGTCCACCATGCCAAGGGAGGGCCCTTTAGAACAGAGCTGTTCGGCTCAGGCCTGTAAGAAAGCAGAGTAGAGGGGCAACAGGAAGTATCAGGGCCAGGTACAGCCTGTACACGCCCACCCCAGTTTATGCCTCTTCCAATCAGCCCCCACTTCCTATCCATCTCCCTTCTCCCAATAGTTCATTCAGTTCTTGAATTCCTCCATGGATCAAGTCATTGATTAGGTCGTTTGTATCTACCCTCAGCCCCACCCAAAGGGGTGTTTCAGTAATCATCTAAGTAATCCCCCATCTTGTAAAGCTGACAATGGGGATCTACCATGGCAGTCACCTGGGCTGCGTATTCCATTACCACAAATGACGGAGAGACGGCTGGCTGCACGGTGAATGAGCATGGCCGAAGACTGAGTAGTCTGTGCAACCAGAAAGCTAATTGGCTAATGGAGATGGAACAGTCATTTTAAATGACATAAAATACAAAGTGTTCTTCATGTTAAGTTAAAGAGTACTGGGGAAGAAAGAACTGTGTCTTGCAGTGAAATAAGTTTGAGAATTGCTGAGCTGAATAATTTAGTGTGATTCCCTGACTTAAGTCTGTTCGGAGCCTTTAGCCTGTGCCTGGGCAATGTGGACCCTCAGGAGTGCTCTTGGCTTAGGAGAAGATGTACCCATTCACTGAGATAAGCAATCCTGGGGCGTGGATATCATTTAAATCTGGAGGAAGGTGCCTTTTGTTTCTGAATAATCAAGTCTATCTTGAAGGTATTTGAGGGAGGTGTGAGATTAGTCATACATACAGGGACAGGGCCGGAGAGATGGCTCAGCAGTTAAGATTGCTCACAGCCTCCTAGAACTACAGCTTCAGGGAGTCCAACGCCCTCTTCTGGCCTTCGTAGGTATGTGCACGCGCGCGCGCACACACACACACACACACACACACACACACACACGCGCGCGCCCGCACACACCTTAGTCAGTGTTCTGTTAGTGTGAAGAGACACCATGACAACAGCAACTGGAGCTGGCTTATGGTTTCAGAGATTTAGTCCATTATCATCATGGTGGGATATGGTGACATGCAGGCAGATATGGTGCTGGAGAAGGAGCTGAGAGTTCTACATCTGGACCCATAGATAGCAGGAAGAGTGAGAGCCACTGGGCCTGACTTGGACCCTTGAAACCTCAAAGCCCACCTCACACTTCCTCCAACAAAGCCACACCTCCCAGCCCCTCCCAGCCCCTCCCAGATAGTGCCACTCCCTGATGAACAAGCATTCAAATATATGAGTCTATGGGGCCATTCCTCTCCTTTCACACACACACATACATATAGATGCACATACATGTACATTAAATAAATCTTTAAAGATTATTTTAAAATGCAGAGATGAGAAGATTCCCAGCATAGCTTATTTTCATTTTCCTGTTGAGATTTTGCATGTGATTTTGCATGTGTTTGAAGGAGCGCTATGCCAAGCCTTCAGAGACTGCAGTATTTTGATGAGCTAGGAGCCTTGTTAAACCAAGCAGGGTTATTTCTATTAATTTCCACCAGGGGGTGATATTGTATCAAACTCAAATGAACTAGACTGGAAATTTAGAAATGACAAGAAATAAAAAGTAGGTAACTCTGTGTGACATGTGTGAGGATTGTGTGTGTGTGTGTGTGTGTGTGTGCATCTCTGTGTGTGTAGACATTAGCATTTTTATTGCCCAAATCCAATGATTCTGAATTTTATTTAAAGTAGGTAAAAAATGCATGTGCTTACGTCACAAAACACATGCATCACATGGGAAATATATCCCGATAGATGGGCATTTTAACATGAAAAGATAACATTTTTAATGATTAAAAAATAAAAGCAAAAGCTGCAGCAAGCACAGGTCGTGTCTTGCCCTTCATAGGGCCATTACATTATTTTTCATGCAATAGATTTGGTTACGTTTTTCACCTCCCCCAACTGCCCCAAGGTCACCCTCATTTCCCTACCCACACAACTTTTTATTCTCTTTCTTTCAAAAAATTAAAAAAAAAACTCATGGAAATAAAAAAATGAAAAACAAAACAAACAAAGAATCCCCCCAAACCCAACAAGACAAAAAAAAATACTCAAATAAAACATCAAAACAAAAAACTCCAACAAAACCTCAAGAGCTTATTCTGTGTTGGCCAACTACTCCTGGGTACAAGGCCTGACTTGGAGTGTGGCCAGTGAGCCCAGTGACAATCCACTGGAAAAAAACGGATTTTTGCTTTGCCAGCAGGTGTCAGCTGTAAACAGCTTTCTTGGGTGGGTGGGACCCTCAGAGTGCCTCCCCCTCGGTGCTGGGGCCCATCTGGCTTGGGTCTTAAGCGCACTCGTTGTTTCTTGCACTTGCATCAAAGCTGCTGCCTTCTCCCTTCGCCTCTAGAGTCTCTCACACACCTTTACCTAGTTGCTATTCTAGTATAGCTTCACTTCACTTTCTATGTCTCAAGCTCAACATTGTAGGCCCGAAAGATGAGAGCCTTCCTGGCCACCTGCCCTGATTTCATTGTCACTAATTGCTCAGTGCTTCCGTGGTGTCTCTCAAAGGTTATTATTCGTGTTGGTCATGAGCTTCCAATCTGGGCTGCATCTTGAAATCACATGGGAAGCTGGGGGGGGGGGGCACCCGCACCCTGATACTCAGCCTTGCTTTGTTACAGCAGAATCTTGAAGACTGGGGTGGGTGGGGATGGGGAGGTGGTGCAGCAGCCGTGTGTGTTTAGAGCTGTCCACGGGGCTCTAAGCCTTGACGGAGAACCACAGTGCCATGTTTTCCTTTTCTCTTAGAGTTCTCCGCGGCTGTAACCATTGCCTCACCTTTCTCCCTTGCTGCCGTGGTGCAGAGCGGGGAGAGTGTGCTGGTTTAAGAGATACAAGTCAGGCACGCTGGACAAGGTGGCCTAAGAGAATTAGCTGTCTCCCAAAATGGCTCTCTAGATATGCTGGGAATGTCCTTGCTGCCTAGAGGTTAGCTGCTGGGAGACAGATGCCTGATTGAAAGACGGGAGATAGGCTATGCACGCGGATGACCGCCTGAGCACATAAGACGACAGAGCTCTTGGAACAGCGGACCTGCAAGCCTTCAATCTAGGAAACCATCCACTTACCTACAAGTCAAGTCAGTCTGCTGTGTGTCAGACTTGCGGGACACCGGACCCGAAGCCTGTCTCTAGTGCCAAGCCAGAGACCCAAACGATCCCTTCTGTAAGAGGTGACAGACACAAGATGCTTGGGACACAGTTAATGACCAATATCTTCCCTAATTTTGTCTCTCCTTCTAACTTTGAATCAACCAGAGAAATCGAACTATGCACCCCTACCCAGTGACAGTGGGTGTCTTGCCTTTGTCAACCTGCTTGCTGTTTTCCATTCAGAAGGTCTCCAACCAGGGCATCACTGAATCCTTCCCCTGTCCCCCACCGCACCCCTTTTTTATGCTCTAACCATTTCTAACTCCTCTGCCTGCCTTTGAGTACCTGCCAAATGCAAGGGATTTGGGCTGACTCCCACACAGGCACTAAAGAAGCAGCCGTTAGTTTTCTTTTGGCTGGGCTATTAGTCAGCGTTCTTCAGAGAAATAAAACCCGCACACAGCTAGGCAGAGCTCTATCGCAAGGAGTCAGGTCAGATCACGTGACTGTGGAGGCGGCTGAGCAGATGTCTACAAGATGGAGGTCTAGGAAACCTCGCAGTACAGTGTCAGTCCGAGCCTGAAGCCTGAGAACCGGCACAACTGCCGTCAGACGGTGCAGAGTCAGGAGTCGGGAGTCAGGAGCGCTGGGGTCTGGGAGCCGGAGAAGATGAACAGCCCAGTTCAGGCAGAAAACAGACTCATCCTTCTGCACCTTCCGCCGTCCCGGCCTGCACTGGGTGGCTCATGCCACATTCGTGAGGGTGATGACCTCAGTCTGAAGTCAGCCTTCTGAGTCGGTTCCTCATCTCTGGCCAGAAAGATGGCTCGGTGTGTGCAAAAAGCTCTTGCTGTGTAGACCTGAGAACCTGGTTCAACACCCAGAACCTCCAGCAGAGCCATGGGAGGAGCAGGGCATTCCTGGTGCTCATCTCTTCTGGAGATAGCCCCACGCCCACATCCATGTCCACAGATAACATGTAACCAGCTCTTTGGGCACTCCTTCCCCAGGCAAGCTGGACCATGAAATAAACAATCATATCCGGTCTTTGCTTCTGTGAAGATTTCTCGTTTGTGTAAGCGGAGCGCTTTTAATTGGGAAGTGCTACTGCCTGAAAATGAGCCACCTGTTTTATTTCCTTGTTCCCAATTTCAGGACATCATCATGGTCTTTGGTGCTTTGTAGACGTATGGGACAACTGGTTTCTGTCTTAAATCCTTGCTTTCAAGTGTGGAGCCTTTGTGGCCGAGTGTGTGCCTGCTGCGCTCTGACCCAGGGGAACGGTCATTGTCAGCGTGGTGCATCTACAGACAAAGGTTGTGTTCAGAGTTTAAGATTTTATTCACCGGGAAAGAAAAGATGTTGAACAGAAAGGCCATAACCCAGTTGGGTGCAATGTATAAAGCTATTTTTAAAGCGGCAGATATACCTATTACAGGATAGACACTTCCATTCAAATTGGCCCCCTCTCTCTCCTCTTCCCCTTTTCTCTTTCCTTCTTTTCTTTTTCCTCTCCTCCAGTCTCCCTCCTCCTTCCCTCCCTCCCTCTCTCTTTCTTCCTTCTCCTCCCCCTTCCTTCTTTCTCTTCTTTTTCTCCTGACTTTTCCTCTCCTCCTCCTCCCTTCCCCTATTCTCTTCTTCCTCTTTCTAATTTTGATTTTTTTGAGACAGGGACTCACTGAGTAGCTCTGGATGTCCTGGAAGTCACCGTGTAGACTAGGTTGGCCTCGAACTCGTAGAGTTCTGCCTGCTTCTGCCTCCTGAGTGCACCACCACACACAGCCTTTTCCTTTTCTTTTTTGAAACAGGGTCTTATTTAATTTCTCAGTCAATTAAGAGTTTTTAGAAACGAGGAAGAAGTCAGTGATGGGCCCCTGTGTGTGGGTGTTGAAGGTCAGAGAAACTGGCTACAAGACTCTCCTATAAGGAAAAAGAGAATGGTGGACCCCTGCCTGCTGGGAGTTGTAGTTCTTACAAACCAGCTGCACGACTCCCCCAATGTCAGATATTTGAAATGAATGCAGCCCTGCTAGTATTTTTTTTCATAATTTCTCTCATCTTTCTTCTTGAATGTGTGAAGGATGGAGACACATTTGAAGTCTGTTTCCTCCAGATATCACTCACTGGAGAAAAGCTGATTGAGATGTTTAAATGGTGCCTTTCTTCTTGAAAAATCTCAGCAGCTTGCCACCAGGCCTGGGGGTTTTATTATCCTAAGTGACTTTGCTATCTATAAATCACAGCCCTAAGCAGCCGAAAGGAGCATGTTAACCAGATCCCTTAAAAATACAACCAGGGCTTTCTCAATTGTTAGCAGAGCAATTGACTTCCATCAGCTCAGGGCACCTGATGACCTGGCCTGCAGCCACCTCTCACAGCCCTGACCCTTGAATTAAACTTATCTCTGCGTATATTGTATGGTGTCTGCCCACTCCTAGTTTTTCCATGGGCTTTAGTATTTCCCTTCATTCAGACCCAGCTCATCTAGCCGTCAGAGCGCGCTGCCGGCTCTGCCCAGGCCCCTTTCTTGAAACCTTCAGGGACCCATCTCATTTCACCTAAGCCCTGGGTCTCTTTGTGAGGACAAGAACATCAGACACTGGTTCAGCTACAAGGAAGAGAAAGCCTCCAAGTGTTTGGGCCAATGAGCATTAAAGAAACAAGGATGTAGCAGTTCAGGGCTGGCGTGGGGTCTCTGTGATCATCAGCGATAAAAGCATCTTGGAAACGGCCCTGCGCTCGCTCGTGAGAACGAAGCTGCAGGTGTCACATCGTTATTCTTCCCTCGCGGAGGTGCCCCAGAAGACTCACATAACATTTTTGCCTCCGTACGTTTGTCCAGGATTTAGCCCACGGGTTCCACTGAGATTTAAGGGAATGTGGCAACTTGCTCGCAATGGAAAGGTCAAACTCTCAGCTCTGCTTAATGTATCAAACTATAAATCGAGTTTCATCAGCTAGATTAAGAATTTGTACTAAGTGGGGGCTTTCAGAAAGATGGCTGAGTTGTTAAAGAGAATTGACTGCTCTTCCTGAGGTCTGGAGTCACACTCCCAGCACCCATGGGGTGCTCACTGCTCTGCTGTTCCAGTTACAGGGAATTTGATATCCTTTTCTGGCCTCCATGGGCATCAGGCACTCACATAACACCCAGACATACATGCAGACAAAACATCCATATACATAAAATAATAATAATAACAATTTGTGCCATGGGTGGTGGCGCACACCTTTAATCCCAGCACTCAGGAGGCAGAGGCAGGGGAATCTCTGTGAGTTCAAGGCCAGATGGTTTACAGAGCGAGTTCCAGGACAGCCAGGGTGACATGAGAAACCTGTCTTGAAAAAATGTACTACGGGGTTCTGTAATGATATCCTGGAGACTGCACATTCTGGAAACATGTTGGCTATAGCTGATAACCAGGTTACTTGGAATTTATGTGGAGGAGAGCAGGCAAGAGAGAAGAGCAGAGATGGAAG